TTGCGTTAAAACATTCCGGCTTACCTGATCTGAAGACAGATGGTATCTGCCGCGTGTTAAGCGGCACGATGTATGGCGCAAGCATAAGCTTGTCTCATTGCCACGGCTATCGTTGCCCACGAGACGCACAGTCATTATTGTTGTATTCGAAAAGCAAAAATTAACGCGTACACTATTCCCATTTACTGTGTTACACCAAGGAATGACTGAAGGTGTCTGCGATTGGAAGTGTCGGTGTATGGCCGAATAGCATATTATAAAACAGGCTTCTGTTACCAGACCATCTGAAACAGTGGGAAAATAAATGTCAGGAAATGGGAACGCCACCTAAACCGGCCAAATTGGTTCGCATTGTCCGCCACGCTAACTCAGCTTTCTATGGGGAACCAAGATTATCTCAAGTGGCACTTCAGTCTACAGACGAGGTGGAGACAGTCATTTTGTCAGCTCACCGTGATTCGAGCTGGGCGGAATACAGGATGAGCAATGCTGAGGTCCGCCAGTTGGTCTTCGGCAAGAAACCCTCTGGTGCCTCAGTTCAGTGCCAGTTGAAGTTGACTGGCTAGCCGAACAACCTCCTCGTGGTGCCAGCTGGGTGGTTCGGGTAAATCATGTTCCAGCAAATGGTTCGGCGGCAGTGTTCCAGGATGTGGTGAGATTTCGCCTGGCAAGCGTTCTCCCTATAAAAATCCACAAGTATCCGTCTAACAACACTGTGACGTGGCGGATGTGACTCGCCACTAAATAAAATCACTGCCTCTTCCCTTTTCCGGAGGATCATTCACACATCACGAACGTCATCCGATTAAAAGCGTTCCATTGATTCCTCTCTGTGATGGCGAACACAACGAACAAAAGCACGCACAGTCACATTTACCTACTCACACAACATGTCCCCTTCCAAATACACAGATACACATAGTTTTACAGCTCAACACTCACGAAATCCTTACACTATTGGTCAAAATGTACTGATTTGTGCAATTGCCGATCATACATGTCTGTAATACCATGATCACGCCCCTGATGGTGTGCCTCGCCATGACGAGAATAAACTATTTATTTATTTATGTAAGTTGAATCGCTAACATTGGTTAGATCATGTACTCCGCACACCAGTTAAGCAAGTTCCTCGGCGAACATTATACGTCATGGTTGCACCAAGTTGGGCGAAACCACGAGGTGTTCAATCGACGAGGTGACATGGGAGTATGAAGTAATTGGCCAAGAGACTTGGTCAGGCAGGTACTTGCCGTCTTCGTGGATGGGGCCTCGTGCTTGTCCAAACCAATGGTTAGAGACACTACCGAACGTGGCGCATTGTCGGAGTCACTGCCGCCCCTGCATTTGTTCTCTTGCGTTTAACTGTTTCTGCCTCAATGCGATTAGCTTCGTGCACCTCGTTCTTGATTCCATTCTGCTAATACCATATCTAAGTCCAACCGCATTTATTTATCATTGTTCCTTATTGTCAATCTGGCGACGTGAGTCGTGGCATTTTGGTGCCCGGATCATGAGTTATCAACTGCACTGAACTGAACCGAAACAACCGGGTAATCTTTAAGTATCGTAGATTATTTAGGAAAGAGAAATTCCAGATAGAACTTGGCTCACTTAACACGAAAGCAAAATATTAAAAGCGAGCAAATACTCTTCTACCAATCGTTATTATTCCTAATGTGAAAGGCCTCGTTGATAGTGGTGCTTTTTTCTACAGTGGTTCTTTGGAAGCTTGTTTTCAGTCTACCGGCGTACCCACCATAACTGTGTTTGAAGAGTACCTTTGATACAAATACGGGCATATCTAAAATGTTTTGCTCAGGTGTGCGGCAGTTGTGCATCACGTGTACGTTCGTCCGACAACGCGATGTTCAAATTTTACCACAATAGACCCTGTATGTAACAGTTACTTTAGTGCTACGGATAAACATCGGTCAGTACAGAGTCCACAGGCATCCAGGTTTCCATGCCACATTTGACCTCAAACACAGACTAGAATGTATCAATTGTTCACATGTGGATAACCTGCGTCTCCTCATCTCACGGAGAAACATGCAGCGCCATGGAATTTGTGGTAGACAGACGCCGCGATTGTGTGCGTCGGTGTATCGTGTGAGATCCGACTGGATATCCGGACTACCGTTAGAATTGCTCGGGTTTTCTCAGAGCGCGCAATGTGCGGAAATTTACAGTGCATCATGGAAAATCGGTAGACTTCCCAAACTGGCTTTCGTCGCTGCCGTCGTCTCTAGTCCCGTTATTTATTTCTTTGTTATTTACGGGGTGGTGGCCGATTACATCGCTCATCAATCCTGATATATTGGATGTTGGACACAAAATTTTACATCAAAGTAAGCGAATTCCGATTGGTCGTTATCGAAGGGTTTTTCTTTGTGATTGGACACATTTGCTTATTAATATTGCTTATGTATCCTTGCTGAATCGATCTGTGTCGGTGCGTCCTCATTTCATTCTAACTTATGATTTGTAATTTTAACCCTTTGGTAAATTTCAACTTGTTAATATAAATTGCGGAAAATGTGGCCATTTGTGTTCATAAATCTTATACTGATTTGCCTTGACTTGAACTCTACAATGAATTTATCTCGCCTATGCCGCCTTACCTTTTCAAAATAGCCTGCTGTCTCTGATGTCATGTTTTTGACTGTGGGATTAACTTTTTCCGTTATATTCTTTTTCTCTCCCATTTATTATTATTCCTTCCGTAAGTCATGATTGTTGCGTGGCAACGCAGTATCCTTTCAAATGGAAGATGTACCAATTTTAATGATGTCTGCTTTTGCAACAATTGATTTTCGACGCAAACAATATTGTAGGAATGAGGTGTTCCCATGGAAATAGTTTTAACATGTTCATAGAAAGTTCCAAAGCAAACACTTATCCGACTACGCATCGCCGAACAACAGCCTAAGTGCATATTAAAGGTGGATTTGTGCGAAAGAGATCTACCATTAAAAACTAAATAATTTGTTATTATAGTTAATTTACGGTGTAAAGAACATTAGAAGCGCTCACCTGCTTGCACTGACTTACGTCCTTTAATGTGCATTGTAGTTTCAGAGCTGATTAGCCTAATATATTCGAAAAGGTTTGCTCATGTGTCAAATTGTAAACAGTTTAATGCTATTCAAACATCTTTTCGAAACTACTAATGATGGGGCACAAAAATCTTAGTTTGGACGGCTGTTCCGTGGTTGGCAGACTAGCAGGAAGACGCAGATACCTAGGCCATCTAAACGACTGTAATGCTGACGATATTAAGCTACTTCCTCTCAGGTTGGTGATAATGTGCGGTTTCGGAAAGAATCAGCAGATGTGATTGGGATATTCCAGTATCAGACATATCAATATGAGGTCTTCACGTGGCCACCTATACCGTTTACCGAAAATTCTGTGTATCCTCAGCCGTGTTTCGTACAGAAGGTGGCGCGAATCATGGACAATTATCGTTGTCCAAATTTTTGGAGTCGTCTTCACCGTTGCCGATTTCCAAATGACACATTCAACATCAATAGGCACACAGACATTAGGCATCGGACAGAAGATGGATGAATCCAAAATCCCGAGTGCCATCCTCAACTGACCGACTTGCTACTTACCACTTTTTGATGCGGCTTCAGACTGTTTGCAACCACCTACGTCGTCCTGTACCAGCACACCGAGGTCACCTACCTGAGTAGTCGTCTTCAGACCGTTCACCCCAAGTTTGCAGATGTAGCAGTGTGGATGGTGGATGTGCACAACACAGCACTTGTCTACATTAATTGTCACCGCGTTCCTCATCAACCGATTCTAGGCTTCATCGATGTCGCGCTGGACGAGCCTGTGGTCGTACAATCCCTTGATCGCTAATCAACTTTTAGCATCTTCCGCGAAAAGCACAAACGTTGTTGTTATAACTTGCTAGGTCGTTAATGATGGTTACGTATAAGCGAATCCCAACTAGCGAACCCTTCTGTACGCCGCAGTCCACTTGAATCCGGTCGGACAAATATGTTCGGACTCCAACATCCAGTTGCCGTTAGCGGATAATGGTACCTATCCATTTCAAAGTAGGATCTCCGGCGTCATATCTTTGAAGATTGTAAAGCAGAATATGATAACCCAAGCGATCGACCGTTTTCCGAATGTTCATGTAGATGACATCGGTCCTTGTCTCCTTATCGACTGCTTCGGTTAAGTTATTACGCTCAAGCAGCAGGTTCGTGGTACATGATCGACATTGACGGAACCGGTGATTCTCCGATTTGATAACACCACAGCTTCACACGTAGCCTGTCAATTTGTCTGCAGTGATCAATTCCATGACCTCGGCGCGCATAGGGAGTAGCGTTAACATGGTGCTAAGTAGCAGGCTCTGATCGACTTCCTTACTAGTGAATTGGGGTGAGGATGCCATGCTTCAAATTTGAGGAAACATGGCGACCCTTGCAAAACTGCGCGACGGTTGATGTAGGATGTGATTGACGAAATAGTCATGGTTGTACGTGGGCTGAGATACTGCCGGTGCACACAGATCTATACAGGTGAACTATTAGGATCCTCAGACAAAGCCTTTGCCTCAATAGCCTGTGCGCAAGGCAGCGGATAGATGGTAATGATTTGGTTTTACAGAAATGGACGCCATCCTATTTCTAACCAAGAGGACCAGGAGATTAAGCTGCTCGGCCCTCTAACGCTTGACCAACTTGATATCAGTAGTCCTTGAGGCGCCTAGAGACATCACTCAGTATAACCTAATCTGTCGTAGAAGTATGAAGTCCGTCGCGACATGTTGAGGTTAAGTATCTTGCAGACGGTGACGTACAGTATGGACAAAGTTTACTCTCTTCGCAGCGTCACATCAGCCATTAGCTACGCACTCCCTAAGGCGTTAGTCGCGGCTTACTTAATAGAGTTGGTGTAAGTTTTAGTTCCTTCGTTTAGGCATGGACACAAATTAATTGGTTGTGTTTTAACCTTGCACTCTTTCGCTTCAGCATCCGAGCAACTTACGGAAGGAATATGCTGCAGAACGCAGTTCATGGATCATCCAGCGAAGAACACGCACTATCAACGATCAAGTTGATTTTTGGTGATCCAGAAACTGGGCTCCCGGATAAATCAGGTGTGATATATTTTAGACCAATGGGAGATTATTGACAGATTTTTCTCATTTTATATTGCCGGAAGTAAATTTTATATGATTATCGTTATCTAGTTCACTAACCTCCCTAAGACGCTGTAACGCATTGCATTCCCATCGGATACGGCAGGAATAGTAGAATACACCGGAAGTTTAAATATTGTGCTTGGCAATTCCGTACATACACTGACTCACCGAATTTATATTTGAAGTTTGTAGTCAATACATCAGTTTATTGTCCCTAACGTGTTCACTTGGTAATTCCTGATGAATAAATCAGGACTGCGTTACGGTTTTCTTCTTGCTTTCAATGAGCTCCTACTGGGGATTACCTATCACGATTAGTCCGAATGTTCTGTGCACATACTACTAACACTAAACAACGCAGTAAGCGACGCGTAATAAAAACCATGCTGGATCCTGTCTCGTCAAAGATAATTAGTGTAAGCTTCACCAGAAATGCTAAAAGGCAAATAAAACCAACCGTTTGCAGTATTCATCTTGATTCAGTATAAATCTGTTTTTCGTCTTAGTAGGCGCAGTTTCTCATGGTCCGATATAGTAGATCCAAGCTAATCTCAACTCTCTATGATGCTATTCCAGGGATCATATGAGGTCCCGCGAAAAGCTACTATCCGTAGTCTATTACTACAAGTGGATACCGCCAAAATTTCTTACTTTCTCTTTACTAGCATTTCTCAAACGGAGGTTCAAACGGGTGACCAATTGCGAAAATTACCACATCCCTTGTTTAAACTTCCCTCACGTGACTGATGCACAGCGCTATACACTATGACATTTCCTTCGTTCCCTAAAATTACGAACTGCTGGCATCAGGTCAGTCTGCCATTTCACCAATTCTCACCTGCAGAGCAGTGGTATATTGGTGCAGCTGCTTGACTTGCAGCATCTAAGTTCCGGTTTCGAGTCCTCCCCTATATGTAGTATCCCGGCGAAGTATCCATATGATGTGCTATGGTACCACTGAGACCTAAGTGCCATAGGCATGGAATATTTAGCATAAGGACCAATTCTCTTATTCAGGTGGTTATATCAACTCTAGCATTACTCGTGTGACTTTCCAACCTCTGGATAATGCTGGGAAATGGGAAGCTACCGGTTTTTAGTAAAAGTGTAAACTACAACTTTACACTGCGACCAGTGGCACAAGAGCACAAGCATAAATACTGTTTTGCAGTCGCCAGGAGACCGCTATATTGTTCCTTCAATTTTAAGCAGTTACCCCTGAGCTGCGTATTGTGGCTAAGTTTCAGCAAATGGCGGCATACGTGGTGGGGGGCCACTAAATATTTGATACGCTAATATGAGATCACCGCGCAGTCTTCGATAGCGCCCGCTGAAAATCCCCAGCAACTTCAGCCTTCGGTGGTAAGAGTGATAGCGCAGACCCATTACATTCTTTGTTGCTCTTCGTTGAGGTGCCTCTAACACCTCTAGCTCGCGTTTCAACCAAGGTTGCCAAGCTTGGATTGCGTACTCAACATGCGGGCGCACGTAGGAATTGTGCATCATTGGGAAGATTGATGGGTCAAATCTCCCGAATGCCCTTCGCAGCATGCCGACGTGCTGGTTGCCTCTTTTCGCAGCTACCTCAGCCTGTTTTGAACAGTTGAGGTCGCTCTGTACGATCACACCAGGATCACGTTCCTGGGAGCTATTCTGCAGTCCATTGGTCCCAAGTGAATAGGTGTAGTTATGTCCATGACGTAATTGTACGACGCGACATTTGTCTACGTTGAATGATGGGGCGTTTGGAACTGACCAATTCGACACTGTGTTAAGATCGCATTGGAGCTGTTCCTGATCGTCCGGTTCTCTGAACCTTCGCCATATCTTGATATCATCAGCGAAAAATAGGAGATCGGAAGCATTTGATCGCGCCAAATCGTTAATGAACACCAAGAATAGACGAGGTCCAAGAACCGAGCCTTGTGGTACTCCACACGCTACATCGATTGTATCAGACAATGATTCTCGGACTCTCACCACTAGCCATCGTTCCTGTAGAAAACTGCTTATCCAACTCATTATTGGGTCGCCAATGTCGTATTTCCGAAGCCTCTGAAGGAGAATGCGATGGTCTAAGCGACCAAACGCTTTTGAAAAGTCCAGGTAGATGACACCGACTCCAACTCCATCGTCAACAGCTTCAGTCCAGCTATTACGTGCAATTAATAGGTTAGTATTACACGAATGCTTTTGACGAAAGCCATGTTGCTCTGGGGCTATTAAATTGTGACTTTCCAGGTATTGCATCAGCGCGTCTGCGACGATTGATTCCATCACTTTGGATAGTACAGGAAGTAGTGTTATTGGACGGTAGTTTGCAGGATCAGTGCGGCTGCCTCCTTTATGGATAGGAGTGATGAGCCCTTGCTTCCATACTGGTGGAATACGGTTCTCTCCTAAATATCGCTGATAGAAAACAGCCAGTGGTTCTGCTGGATTATTAGCTACCGCCTGCAGAGCCTTTGGTCGGATGTTGTCGGTTCCGGGAGAAATGTGGATACGCAAGTATAACAACTTCTTCAACACAGCTTCCCCAGTGAACGTGAAGTTGTCTAAACCCGACGATGGAGTATTAGAAATGAGGAGAATGTTTGGACTCGTTACCTGCTGGAAAGTTTGGGGGTAATGAAGCCGTAGGGGTTCAGGTGCTTCCATTGCTGATTGCGTGCACCCATCAGCCGTGACTAGTACTGGAACCCCCGCTTCACCTTTCGAAGGCCGTTAACGTGCCTGTACAGAAGTTTGCGGTTCGTGCAGAATCGGTTCATTAACTTCTGCTGATGAGTGACCTTGTCTTCGCGGATCCGGTTTACACGGAAGTTACGATGTGTCACGTATGCAGTCCAGGATTCGGCATTCTGTCGATCTTTGTGATCTCACCATGCCAAATCTAGCCGGGACATACTTTTACGTGTTCTGCTCCTCAAAAATGACTTACGCTTGTTTTTGGGTTGGAAGGACTTCTGTTCCGATGCGTGTGCAACCAGTGTGCTAAATGTCCTTGTAAAGGTTTTCCAGGCAACATCTGGGGGGCATTCGGTTAATTCCAAGATGTATCTTTAACAAGTTTAGATAACACATTATAGTGCGTGACAGTATGCACTTTATTATCCTCCTTTTCAGGGTACTTCGCATAGCATACCTAGTCAAAGAGTAGGGTAACATGATCACTACGACCCAATAGTGTGCTTGTGACTATCCCGTCAACCATGAGTTCTTCGTTAGTTAGCACAAGATCCAGTCTAGACGGCTTGTTAGCAGTTTGAAATCTGGTGGGAGAGGTTACTTGGTTGTAAAGCGAGTGGCTAGTAAGTAGCTCTTGCAAGCAGGCTTTAAACTGCGTACCATCGGTTTCCGGCGTTTCTAAGTCACGCACGTTAAAGTCCCCAGCGATAAGAATGTGGGTGTAGGACTTGTTCAAAGCAAACTGGAAAACGTGGTTCAGTTTGGAGTCCATTTCCGACGTTGAGTTTAGTGGGCGATAAATTACGGCTAGTAGACATGTGTCCTTGTTTCGCAACCAAAGGCGGCGCTAAAGCGAATTGGGGGCTCGGATTTCCGGGAGATCGATAACTTCACATCGGAGGCTTGTATTATAGTAAAGAATCACACCGCCACCCATTCCGGTTCTATCGGTCCGAAGTAGCGACATACCAGGTACATTGATCTCATAATCGGTTATCTCAGGGTACAAACATATCTCTGTAATCATGACAAAGTCCCGCAATTGTGCGGCATGGAGTTCTCTAAGTTCGGTCAACTTGCTTAGAAGGCTTTGGGCGTCTGTGTACATGCAAGATAGGGCTTTTGTTGTCAGGAGTGCGTTGACGGATATCAAATTTGTGATAGTTTTTAAGCCGGCCGTTAGGTGGCCGGCCATTATTCGCCTTTTGTTATATGAATTTCAGTCAAGTTGTATAGCATTATTGAGCGTTCCTGAACTGACGTTTCACACTTGCTGTGCTCTGTCCTGTTGTGTCGGTCTCTCCGCAGGACTGTGCAACTAAAGAAAGTGTAGCGTTTGCAAGTTCCATCGAATTTCTTCCGACTTTTGGTCGTTCGCCTGCTGCCTTTAGCCGGATCTCTGTTGACAACCTAGTTCGAAACTTTAACCAACTATCCAACAGACCTTGCGTCATTCTCTCGGAGTGTAGTATTACTTTCATTAGTATTGGACCGCAGCCCTGGTATTCGGATGATGACGGATCTCTTGTCAAGGATTTGGCAATAACATTGTCAACCGCGAGTGCTTCGCAGATGTAGCACCACTGCTCTCGGTCATGTGTTTGCGCATCGGGATCAGAAGAATGCAGAACCTCGGGAACACCATGAACAAATATAGTTTTCTTGCTATCCCTATTAGAAATGCCGCGTTGCTCAACTGCTTCTTTTGGGCGATATTTCCAAGATAGTTTAGGTAATATGTGCACTTCACTCGATGAGTTGCGAAGACGAACTGCTGAGAACAGAACAAACTCTGTCTCATCTGCTGAGTCTAGTGTTACTCGAAGAATTCCAGGTTCACCAGAATGCACTGAGGTTGGGTGACGTGCTACGCGTTGCAGCATTGCAGGCTCAACCCGAATGCCAATCGCCTCGCAGATGGAATTCCACTGGTTGCGATCGCCTTGCAACTTGCCTTTTATTATGCCAGATTTGGATTCGGGAACATTGGTGCACACGAGAGTTAGTGCAGCGTGGTTTTGTCTAGCAAGTGTTGGCTTTATACTTTTTGCCGGCAATTCAGGTTGTTTAGAGGGCACCACTGGAGTTGACAGTGAAAGCTGCTTTGCGCCGCGCGTGCTCGGTACAGAAGATGGATATATGTATGTCTCTCCCGGTGTGTTTGTCGAGGCAGTCGATGCGTACGTTATCTGCTTGTTATCTGCACTAGATTGCCTTCGGCTCTGAGCTGTCGGTGTCATGGCTGAATCTCTAAGTGAAGCCTCTAT